CAACTTTGGATGGAGGTCGAAGTCGACGCCGACGGCAACGGCGTGAACGTGGCGCGATGTGCTTCGACTGTTCTTCCCTCTACAAGGACAGCGCTGAAGCTTTGAACGACTTTAAGTTCCGACAAGAGGAGGATGAAGATGCGTCTTATTATGTGCAAGTTGTGTTTCCCGAGCGGCCGCCTCCTGATCCACCACCTAATCGTGGTTTAAGGACGGTCACGGTTGAGTTGTCCCATGGATTTGGCGTCCGTGATAACGAAGATGAAGAAAGACCGTCGATGCCACGAGTAATACAGGGAGGGCGACGTGTCGTTTGCGCTGTCGAAAGCTTTGAGGCTCTCTCTGGAGGGTATATTGACTGCCTACAGTCGCAAATGCTTGCAGACACTGGCGCGACGCTTAGTCTCATTGACAGGCGATTTCCGAAGTGGTTAGGACGGTATTCAGAGCTCCTACAGCTGTATGACGTTAAAGCTAGCAGCTCGTCTGGTCATCAACTGCGCGTCCGTGGGGGGATAAATCTGCCCGTCCGATTGGGATCGAAAGAAGTCGCTGTGAAGATGGTAGTGACCGACAAACTACATGTGGACGCTATCATGGTAGTCGACGCGTTAGGAGCATTCGGCGCCCTGATCGATGCGACAGAAATGACTTTGACGCTTAAGGACACTGATGAAGTGCTTCAGCTAGGAATGACCGTCGTACATGACGCCTACATGGTTACGATGGCCTCGTCGGTATGGTTACCTTCTTGTGGCCAAGCGCCGCTAGTGGTGGCTGATGTCGTCTGAAACGTGAGAGACGATGATGTCGCGCTAGTGGAGGGTGCCGTTGAGTTGCCACCTACCTTAGGAATAGCTCGCTTACTGTGTACCGTGGGGGAAGGCAAAGTGATTGTCGAAGTCTGCAATGCGTCAACGGATGAGTATTGGATCCCGGAAAGGAACGGCTGTGGCCTCTGCCACTATCGTGCCCAAGTCGGCATTTAATCACGAAGACCCGCCGGGAGAAGAGGAACCCAAGGGCAAGAACGTGCCTACTGAAGGATTAGAGAGCTTCGTGACTATGTCAGTCACCGAAGGGCAGGGAGAGGAAGTCTGCGGCGAAGCGAGGACTTCAAAGCCTGACGTCCCGCCGGACAAGACGTTAACGCGACGGCCGACTTCTTTGACTCTGACCTATCCGTTGAGCAGACGACACTGTTCCGGTCAGAGCTAAACGGCTTCTATGATATCTTCGTGGAGTCATCAATGAAGCCTGCTCGAACGGAGATGCTGTACTTTAAAGTCGACACGAGTAACAGTCTCCGATCAAGCAGCAGCCGTACCGAGTGTCGCTAGCTGAGGATAAGTGATGGAGGCTGAATTCAGCAGTATTGGAGAGCAAATTATCCGTCCTTCGAACAGTCCGTGGGCTAGTCCGGCTCTGATGATTCGCAAGCCGGACGGAGGGATCAGGTTCTGTATCGACAGCCGAAGGCTGAACGCGGTGACCGTGAAAGATTGTTATCCCATGCCTTTGATCGATGGTATCCTCGACGTACTAGGGGATGCGAAATTGTTTTCGACTATGAATATTGCGTCTGGCTACTGGAATGATCCCATGGACAAGGGCAGTATTCCTAAAACTGCTTTCACGTGCAAGTATGGTCTGTACGAGTGGCTAGTGATGCCTTTTGGTCTTTGTAATACTGTACCCGCGTTTGAACGGTTGATGGGGACGGTCTTAGTGAACTTAAAGTGGCGTATCTGCTTAGTCTACCTGGATGACTGTGTAATCTTCAGCAAGGACTTTCCGATTCATTTAGTGCGCGTGAAGCAAGTGCTCACGAGGTTCCGTCAAGCCGGTTTCCAGTTGAAGATGAAGACGTGTCACTGGGGCAGTAGCCAAGTCGCTTTCCTAAGTCACATAGTGACTCCTACCGGGATCCTACCTAGTTCAGAGAAGGTCAAGGCAGTGATGAACGTGAAGCGCCCGCGAGACCTACATGCGATCCGTTCATTTTTGGGACTGTCGAGCTATTTCCGTCGCTACATTCCGGGATACGCCACGATTTCGGCGCCCCTAGAACGGTTGAAGGTGAAAGATGCTTCATTTTCGTGGAAGGATAACTGTGAGGCGGCATTTCGCCAGCTCAAGCGAGCGTTGATGAAGCCTCCGATCCTAGGCTACCCGGATGTCAAGAGACGTTTCAAACTTTACGTGGACTCGTCCCGATACGCTGTCAAAGCCTGTCTGATGCAGGAAGTAGACAGTCGAGACCGTGTTGTGGCGTACGCTAGTAAATTGTTGGCAGGGACCCGGAAGAACTGGATCAACAAGCAAGATGGGATCTCGGAGATCGAGTGTTGGGGGGTTGTATGGTCGACAAGAAAGTTTCGCTGTTACTTGGACAAGAGAGAGTTCGGCTTGTACACAGATCATTCGGCTCTCACCTGGAACTTCAGTCCTGGAAACCATACTACGAACGCGAAGTTGGCACGGTGGGCCATGGAGTTGTCCAATCTGCAGTTTAAAGTGCATCACAAGCCTGGGACAGCGATGGGGCACGTAGACGGTCTGGTTCGCCTGGAAGCGGAGCAAGTGAACGCGTTGCGCTTGGCCGACCTGCTAAGCCCAGAGGAAGAGAACTGCGACGGTCTAGGCTCAGTCGGCTAGCCGGTCGAAAGTCCCGCTGGACCAGAGTTAGAGACGGAACGGAGAATCCAGTAACGGGAACGGATGCAGAAGGGAAGTAGAGCGAATCCGCTGAAGAGATTCCTGAGTCTCCTACGAAAAGTTTTCGCTTAGACGTCGAGCAGTTCAAGAATGAGCAGAAATATGTGTCGTGGATGAAAGCGCTAGTGGCGTTTCTGTTGGATGGTGATCTTCCGTTGGATCCTTTCCTACGGGCTCGCGTAGTACGGATGGCTTCTCGGAATGTGGTGCAGGACGGTCTGTTGCGTCGGTTTGTCAACTTACCAGCGAGTCGGACCGGCTCGTACGATTGCGGTGCTAGTGGTACCTCCTTCTTATGTGGCGACGATCCTTCACTACTGCCACGCGGATATCCTGTCGTCTCATTTGGGATTGACTAAAACAACGGAAAATGTTTGACGACTGGCATACTGGCCTGGTTGGCGTAAGGACGTGACCGAGTTTTTGAGAGAATGCAACAAGTGGGGCAGTGGAAAAAGGTTCTCGACCGTGGAGCGCAGGTGTAATGCAAAGGATGCCCGTGGTAGAACTGAGGGGACCATTCGATTTGCTAGTCGTGGATGCTATCGGACCATTACCCGTGACGGAAGGTGGAAACCGTTATATTCTAGTGTTCGTAGACTACTTTACAAGGTGGACCGAGGCACTCGCGGTGAAACGGCTAGACTATGTGACTTTTGTGGATGTGATGGTGAATGGCGTCGTCGCTCGACACGGGCTTCCGTCTCGGCTGTTGAGCGACAACGGTTCGAACTTCACGTCGGAAGTGGCCAAGTCCTTTTACCAGACGCTCGCTATCAAGAAACTGTACGGTGCCGCGTATCATCCGCAAACCCAAGGGCTAGTGGAATGGTTCAACGATACTTTCATAGAGATGCTGAGGATGCACGTGAGCGAGGATCAGAACAATTGGGATGTATTCTTACCACGAGTGTTGTTTGCCTACCGTACCGCCTACCATGAAGCGCTTGGAGACCCTTCTTTCTTCACCTTGTACGGACGTGATCCCGCGTTACCACTCGACGTGACTTTCCTGAACCTCGGAACGAAGTGAAAGAGTAACGAAGTGGCCCAGTATAGAAGGGAACTGTACCGTTCGATGCGTGACTCTCGCCACTTAGTGGAGCGTCAGATTTTGAAGGCTCAACACAGACACGCTAGGCGGCTGGAGGATCAAGTGGAGGCGACGTACGAGGTTGGAGATCCCGTGTGGGTGAACCAGACTTCAGGGCTCGAAGAGGTGAAACGAGGACGAAGAAGCTCGCTTTCTCGTGGCATGGTCCTTTCCCGAGTCTCTATTAAAGTCGGGGAGAATGCTTACAAGGTTGCGATCCCCACTCATCCCGACAAGCTGGTGACCGTGAATGTGAACAGACTCAAAAAGTATCGAGGTAAATGGACTCGACCGGTCCTGGATGAACTACCGCCTGGCGCTAAGGAGACCGAAGAAGGAAGTGGTAATGGGCCCCTGGATGAATCCGACCTCCAGCCCTCAAGCTTTGTGGAACGGTTAACGGTTGGTCGAGAAGACACGGTCTTAGCGTGAGTCGAAACACCTTTACTGGAAGTGGTGGCTAAAAGGATTGTGAACCGTACCGTGGAAATACTTGGTTCTAGCTGCGAATTACGAGACCTTCTGGCTACAAAGAACGGTTTTGATGCCGGCTTATGCGCGGTTAGTGATGTCTTACAAAGACGCTGAAAGGAAGAAGAAGGGTTTGCCGGGAGTGCAAAGAATTGCTCGGTTGGTCGACGCTAATTGCGGAAGTCGACGAGGACGTGTTACTTATGGTATAAGTGAAGTGGTGAAGTTTTCGAGTCAGCAAAGAACGGTTACTCTGTGGAGATTAAGACAGACACTCGGAAATAGGATGGTGGTGCGTGTTGGTGAGTATTTTTTTTGTGTGGTTACGGACGGAACGATCAGACTTACGAGAACGGAAACGAGAAACATGTGATCGTTCCTCTCAAAAATGGTAACCTCGTCACTTGGGAGTTTGAGAGTCGAGAGAAGTCGACGACGGCTTTGCGATCTTGCTCGGCTTGTCGCCTGCGTCGGACGCAGCTCCATAATCGTTGGAAATAATTTTTTCAGCGGCCTCTTCGTCGTCTTCCACGTCATCTTGGTTGTCGGCGTCTTCGTTGGTGTCTTCTTGGGCATTTTTCTTGTCTTCTTCGTCGTCTTGGTCGTTGCCTGGATGGCCCTCTTCTTGCTCCTCGTCTTCTTCGTCGGATGAGAGTCCTAGTACGCTAGATGCTTGGTGGGAGAACTTGGAGGCTGATACTTGACAGGCGAGGACAATTTAGGGGATGAACTCTCCGTTTTCTTTGAAGTCGGAATCGTCTTCCCCCTGTTCGGACGGCTGGAACGGCCGATCATTGTGCACTATCACGGGTTTGCCTGCAGTCAGCAGCCTGGCGACTTCGACTTGAGTCACACGGAGAGAGCGGTCAGAGAGATGCTCCTTCCACGGGCCACGGTTGCGGTTGCCGACCCAGCTCTCTTTTGGAGGGTTGCTGCCAGAAACGTCCATAGCGATGCGAGCCAGGGCCTTGTCCGAAAGTCGCAGGTTCTTGAGGCGCGTAGGGTCTATCGCTTGACCCGTCTTGAGAAGTTCAGGGATGGAATGGTAGTCGCTGCTACCCACCTCGAAGGGATCAAGGGCATTGGCGATAGCTTGATCGTACCGACGGCGGTAACGCTTGAGCAGGACACCGAGGTCTTCTTGGTCTGGAGAATTGGAGTCGTCGTCGGCTCCACTAGCGTTCTTGGCGGCCCTGCCTCCTAACAACATAAGATTGTCGTGGACGGCGTCTTCGAACGCCGTCAGCATCCCGCAGTAGCCCATCTCTTCGAAAAAGGCGCTCAACAATTGCAGACGAGCTCGAAATGCGCTTGCCTTCAACTTGCGGTGAGCTGCAGCGTATTCCGACGGCGGATACAGCGCGAGGGGTAGAAACCGAAGACGAAAGCACATCCAGAAGCGCCAGTGCTTCCAGTCGTGCTCGAGGTGGTACTTGGGGTCGTACCAGACGCGGTAGCCCTTCCATGGGAAGGCCATACGTGGCAGCGTCTTACCCTGTCCCTCCGAGATCTTTACGAGGCGCTCCAGGTTGCGCTCGATGGTGGCGTCTACGCCGGTGGGGAGATCAACCGAGAAGTGAGGCTTGGATTTTGCCTTCTTGGACGTGCGCTTTTTCTTGGCTGGAGGTGGCTTGAGGGGTGTACGCGAGCTGGATCGCTTGACTCCGTCTTCCAAGCACCGGTCACCCGAACGAGATTGGGTGACCGGTGCTTGGAAGACGGAGTGCTCTCGGACCTGGCCAGCGGACATGCTTTCTGGGGAAGGTGGAATGACGACAGCACTCTCCAACGGGGTCTGCGAAGTGTCGTCGGCAAGGAGCCGGAGGACCAGTCGGTCAAGGGCGTCGAGCCCGACGGAGTGGCTGTTGGCTGCCTCGGCTCGGAGGCGGCTCCAGAACTCAATCATGAAGTGTAGAGGGGTGGCGTCGTCCGCCCTGTCTTCGTCGTCGAGGCGAGAGCGGAGTTGGTCTTTGACCGTTGGGGTCATCCCGGACTTCTTCGACGACTTGGTCATGGCTACGTGTGCTACTTGCGGAATGCATTTTAATTGGTCTGCCTCCTGTGACACGACAGGGAGCTGCAGTAATAGTGGCGGACATGGTGGTCAACGACGAGAAGCCACCGTTTTGATGGTGATGTGATGTGACTTGAGCAAGGGACGGTCTCTTGGCTGGTGCACAGCCAAGTGAATTAAAGTGACGGTTAGTGACGATGGAGAACGGTTGGACCGTGGGTGTGATGGATTCATTCCTCGATTGTCGAGATTGTCGATGGATTACGCGAGAGGATGGTATGGCGTGGAGTCGAGACGCTGTCGTGTCGACGTGTAGTTTTGGAGTGGGACTGGCCCTCAGTCATGCGTGGGTGTTGTTCGCTGTGGCGAGTGGTATCTTGACTTGGACCGTCACCGAACCTCTCAGAAGTTTGGTGCTTTGACATTTCTCTTCGGGCGGTTACTTCGTATATAAGTGGGCTAAGATGTTAAGACTTTGTATTACGCGCTATCGAAGCTATGTGCGCAGTCATGCCGCACAAGACCAGCTCTGGGGGACGAAATGGTGGAAGACCTATGAAGCAGTACTGGCTACTCCTATGGTAGTGCTCGCTGCGAGGAAAAATACACTTAGCGGTCTAGGGCGTCTACTCTACAAGTTGTTGGACGCCTTGCATGCGTACTGGTGCGTGTTCTTACCTGAGGCGGTGACGTTGGCGTGGAGGACGTCAGTGAAGTATTGGTGCGGTTCAGGTGTTGAGCTCCAATGAACGTGGGCTCGTGCGTGGTTCGTTGTGCGTGTCTGGTGAACTGTGGTGACACTGGTCGTCTACGCTACTTTATACGGTGTACTGCTCCTGTACGAGATCGTCAAAGGTGCTTGTCTAGGGTGGCTTGGGGTAGTGGTCTTAACGGTGACGATGAATTACAAGTTTGCGAGTAATGAGGGCGTCGTGAAGTTTGGTGGGGTCGTTGTCAACTGTGGGACTGTACTATTCGACGGGTGCGTCCTGGTGCTAGGCGTGGTTAGCCATGTGTGGCGTTGGTATGAGTATATGTCGGAAGGACGTTCGCCGCTTGCTGTGGCCCAGGACTGCTCGGTTGTATCCGCGACATGGAGGAACAGGAACGAGAGCAAGCTGACCGTCTTAGCGAAGCATTCTGGGAAGCGGATAGAGGTCCGTGGAGACTACGCGACAGCAAGTACGCACGCTGAGCGGGATACATGCTGAGCGACAGGCTTTGCGAGCTAAGATGAGATATTCGGAGAAGGAAGGCTTTGCTGGACGAGCTCGACGAGGGCGTCGATATTCAGTCGGGGAGGATGTCCCGAGTGAGAGCGGTGGCAACCTTCTTGAGCACGGTTCCTGTTCCCCCTCTGGAGTGACCTGCGACCAGCCACTTAAAGTCGCACGGCAAGAGGATGAGCGGCCGTCGGGTCGCTCGAATCAGCTCTGACATTGTCGGATTCTGTTGTCCGAATTGGGGCCTGACCTCGTCGCATCTACGTGTAGTATGGAGAGGGAGCTACGCTACCTGTTGAGTACGTCGTCTGAGGTGCCGCTATGGCTGAGGTACTGCCTGTCGTCACGGCGATGTGCGAGGTCCTTGGGACGGACGACACAGACTACAGGGATACCGCTACGTATGCGAAGGACAGTAAAAGGAAAGGAGGGATGTCGACATCAGTGTACCCAAGGACGTACTGACGTGCGCTTCGACTGAGTAGAACTACGGTACGGGTGACATTGTGGGCGAGGTAAGTTTGGTCAGTCGTGAATTTTGCCTGGGAAACCCCGAGTTGACTTAATACATTTGGCTTTATATTATTAATATTGCAATTTGTGTCGACTTGGACTACTCATGTTTACCCCGCCTCGCTACCCAGTGGTGGCAGTGAGTGTTAATACGTCTGAGCATAAAGACGCGTATAAACACCTCAAAAGACTGTCTAAAGTACAAAAGGTCGAAAGGTTCCCCCTTTACAGAAATTAGGACATGCTATACATTTGGTAGATTCGTAACATACAGTCATAAACAGAGCAATATAAGTCTGTAGTCTAGAGACATAGCCATTAAACTTAACTAATGCATCGAGTTAAGGTTTTCTTATCATTTCCCATTTTCACAAAACAGCACCCAGGTAGCGAGCGACCACTTGATTGATTTACTGCATCGGCCGTTTCCCTGGCTCGACCGATGCGTGCCGCAAAGGGACGAAGGGAACGCGAAAAGGGCAGCGGGCTAGCCACGTCAACAAGAAGGTGCAAACAGTCTGTGACGTGATAACTAAAACTGTGTCAACGGTGAATTCGCTACAACGCTCACGTGCGACGGAATTCAAGCATCGTACTACATGTAGTAAGAATGGCTTTGAGGTATCTCAACAGCCTATTTGCACCGTCTTACAAGAGCAAGTACGAACTACTTCGAAGTCTGGACTCGTTTTTGCGATCATAGATCGACTAAAGGAATATTCTGGTTTTTTCTATCGGGTACAATGGTGCGATAAATTGTCGGGGTTTCGTTGGGATGACACCTGGGAACCTGGGGATGCTTTGCGCGAGGATGGATTTAATCAGGCGTGCGATGTAGTGGACGCGTGGAATATATCAAACATCGATAACTTTTATTTATTTTGCAAGAGAAACGATCACGTTCATCCCATTGGTGCTTCACCAGACGGATCATGTGCTTTCTATGCTGTTGGCATTGCTGCAGAAATGATTGGTATTGCAGGATGGCATTCGACGTTGAAAGTGGGTCAATTTATGGAAGAATGTAAAGCAAGACGCAAACCGCTTTCGTCAACTGGTGTGACTTATGGTGAACTGAGATGCTACATAAAGTTTGCAAATGCAAAGAGCCTCAAGCAGATTAGCACGCATAGTTTGGATAAAAATCGTTTTGGAGGAGTGCACGGAAAACATGCACAGTCGAGTTTGTGCAAAACACCACTCGATGAAGGCGTTTATATATGTGCAAGCTATAGTTCGCTTCGACTGACGCGTTGTTTTGTTATTTAAGTTCTAAATGGGATAAAGATCGTGTATGATGGCGAGATCTTTGATGTAGCAATTGAGGAGTGTGATCTATCTTGGATTTACGGCATTTCGTTTGTTCGTTGTGTGCAACTCCATGGTGCGTGAAGACCGAATTGCTAAGTTGATTTCTGGTTATTTGTTGACAGAACTCATACGATTTATCGTAGCATTACTTTAGTTATTGAGTAATGTCCAGCAGACGCATATCACTATTTTTAATTGGGCCGTGCTGATTCGCTTTTAGCTCGTTGTCAGTGGGTCTTCAAATTTGAAACTCCCTTCTGCTCGCTTCTCGATGGAAATTTTGATTGTATGATTGGTTTCAATGGCGATACGTCTTTACAACCGACTGTGTCATGGAGTACTTTGTTTTTTTTGTTTAGGCTCGATTTGAATATTTCGTTAGTTTGATTTGAATCTCTCGATGGTTAATACTCCGACACAGATACAAATATTTACATTTCTTCAGATACGATGAATTGCTGGAATGCTCTTTTTAATTTTACGATTATTAAATAATTTGTTGATAGATCGGAGCGAACATCTTTGATGCAACGCTGGCAAATTGGATTTTTGACGCTGGCATAATTTCAGATGCATTGTGGACAAGACTTTGAAACAATCTTAAAAAAACTTATAATTCCTCAGACCAGATGAATTACCGGCCGGCGTCGTACACGTTAACGTCTCTGAATCTTATCATCATCCTCTTTGGATTGAAGATATTCTCATTCTGCAATTTACGCTCACCTGCGGCGGTCTCAATTATCGATGCTTATCCACGAAGCTGTCTGGATTTTTGCAGAACGCAGCGGAAATGACCACGCGCGGAAGTATGCGTCGCTGCGTAATGGAACCACCGGCACTGACCGGCTGAAGAAGGATTCGAAATGGCTACGAGGCCACGGCGGGAGGCGCTTACGAGAACTCCGGTATCAAGTTCCGCTTCATGACCGTGAGCCAATGATGCAGAAGCATCCTGATCCAACCTTTCCATCCGGATTCGACGGGATATTTGACGAGAGGCGTAGATCATCTCAGCAGCGTGGTTCAAAGCGCATGCTTCAAAACAGCCCCGCAAACGACAACATTGACTCCGAGAACGAGGATCCCGATCTACAAAGACAATTTGAATTTCTGTCGGCAGCTCGGTCATCGTACCATCTTCTCGCTTCTAGAGAGCATGTCCTCAAGCTTCAGACCGAGTACAATCGGGGCGGTTTTAGCGGAGTTGTTGAGACAACGATTCTAAGTATGAAACATGCAATTCTATTTGCTCGCTCGAAGGATCGTGCTACAACACCTGACGAAGCTTTCGCAGCCGTGTGCGGCAGGGTGACCGATGTCATTGCTTCTGCTCTGGGAATTATACGCTTTGAGCCTGAGGTCGTTTCGGAATCTGAAGAGCCATCAGCACAGTTTGCTGAGGCAAAAATAAAGAAGGCGTTCGACACATACAAAAGGTGTGTGTTAGAAGTACGCTACGTGGCGAGACAAAAGTATTTCGCGCGATCCTGATGCCGCTATATGGCATCCAACTGACAATTGTTTTGGAAAAACAATTGGGATTCCGGAACTGTATGCAATGCTCAAGTCTCACTTTTATATTTTTTACTCTTCTAAATGAAATTGAATGGTTAACGCTGGAGAAGCACTTGGAGGTCATCCGACTAGTGTAAAATGGGGTGGGTCAGTACTGTCTGGCGTATTGGATTGTGACACAGCTGAAAGTTGCTGAATCGACCTCTTCCTTTTGGCCTTCGAACGAACTTGGGAAGGTCGTGCAGTAGCTTTTTTGGATTTTGGTTTTGGTCGGAGTTGTTTTGAGCAGCTCCTCTTTGTTTGGACTTTCGCCGTAATACGTTTTTTTCAGTTTTTCGAGAGGGTCTCGTCTGTAAGTGTATGGACTGTACTTTCGTTCAGCAGCAATTAAGTGTGCACATACTAAAACCTTGCTGTAGTATTGACGGAGTTCTTCAACGTCTTCATCGTTCGTATCATCAAGATTCTCCATCAACCTGTCGCCTTCTTCCTCGTCATCGCTGTTCGATGTATGATCCGTATGTGTATTATTCGACTCAACACCTGACGTTAGGGCCAGAAACAAACTGTTTGCTCTGGATGAAGATTCTTGCCCCGATGATGTATCCGCGACTTCGGATTGTGCATTCTCTCCGAATACAGACCTGTACTCCTCTACGATATCGGCTTCGTTACTATCTGATACTTTGTAAACGAGAAAACAATTCGATCTACCGCTTGCTGTGAACTGTACACGAGAGGCTTCAGCCATTGCAGCCGCTGTCTTCACAATATCCGATGTTGATTTTGGAATATGGGTTTCTCTGACCGGGGCTAAAGGAGTGATTGTTTCGATGAAGTCAAAGAGTTTTAACAGAAGCTTTCGCATGTGATAGCGTCGTCTCAACAGAAACCGCTTTAGGGCGTCATTCAGATTTTCGCATGGATTATTCGTTGAAGCGAGTCCTGTAGGCGTTTGATATGCTTGCCACTGCCAATAGCGACCTGAAAGCCGCTGCGCTTCGAAGTAGTCAGCAAACGAGGCAAGTTGTGTCACCGCCCTCCACTTCGATACTTCGGCTTCCTTGGTGAAGTTAAATTCCTCGTAGCTATTGGAGAAGTGCATGTCCAGTATTGCGCCCATTATACGATGGCGGTCTTTGATGGGAAGATGTTGAACACGCTTACGTACATTATAGAGTACGTGAAAAAAAAACATTGATTCAGCACATGGGAACGGACTCGACAGCTAGGTACTGAGCATCCTCAGCAAAGCCCATTACTGCTGAGACTCGCAGCGGTTTTCTTCGTACTTCTTGTACTAAGTATGCGAAGCTTCGAAAACATTCAGTGTATTCGAAGGCTGTTCTCCGGCTAACGACAAAAATGCTCCCACTTGGTAGGCTCTAGACCTGTCCGTTAAGCCGCAGGTAATAACTGGATATCCGATATTGCTGAGCTTGAAGGTCGCGCCCAGAATGAAATTGACATTATTCATCGCTAAAAAAATAGCAAACAAGCATCTATCATTGCCAATGACGAAATCCTAATTATGAACGAATGAGCATCACTCCCGGACCCGACGTAGGCATAGCCTTCTCTGTCCATCTTAGATCCAAACAAAAAAGCTGTGTTTGGTGACAAGCTAGGGCAGTAGCTTCGTAATCGCACCAAATCCTGTATAGATTTTCGTGAGTTTTTGGATCCTTGCTCACGTCGAATTCGCTTCGGTGCATTTCGAATCTGCTTTAGGTCTGGCCACCCACGGCTAGTCACTTGCATGTTCTCTTGCCTTTTCAAGTTTACCATAATGAGCCTCGGTGGTATCCCTATCTCATCCTGCGCTGCTAGGAACGTCTTCATAGCAAGTGTTATTCGATGTGGGTGCGCTGCTGAGCAAGGAAAGACACCCCGAACGTGGCCATGATGATTGACCCAAATAGTCCGTGTGTCTTGGGCAGAGCAAGTGAACACTTTCCATAGGAGTAGACAATTACCATTACCACTACAGCTCTTGCTAGTGTACTGAAGTCGTCTTTCGGTCATTATGTGCTGACCTCCACAAATCCGGCAAACGTCAAAGTCGCGTTTTAAGAAAACAGCTGAGCAGCACATCGAATCCTCGCAAAAGACCTCAAATGCTTCTTGAGAGCTTTGTACAGAAAGCTGACGCCATCCCTCCATTGTTGTCTTCTCCCTCGTTTTTCCTTTTGACGTTTTGTGGGAAACTCCTTCACTTGCGCTATAAATGTGTGCATTTCATAGTTTTTTATGTTAGACACTATTAATAACTGTTTTAGCCACGTTGCATAATACAATGATGAATTTATCTATGCATAATTACGCCGGCTGGGCAGTATATTTGGACCCCGCATTGGACGTCTACCAAAAATGACCTATGCAGGTGACATACCTGCAGCAGATATGCCAGACGCAGAATAGGTATATGTCGGGCATACCCCGCAGTCAGTCTACCACTAATGTCACAAATGGTAATTTTGCGTCCGGCTACAACTGTCCGATTTATTTACCGGGTATGCGATTTTGAGTATATTCAGAATGAAACCCGTCGATTTTAGCCGGACATTATTGAGTCAAACTTCTTCTACTTTCCGAGCTTCAAGTTTGATTCTCAGTGTTGAATCTCTCCCCCAAGGTAATGGACTCCGAGGACGAGACGGCTATGATGCTGTGGCTCTGCGAAGGCTTCATCGGGTTGGAGCAGGAGGTGCGTGACGCCCGTACCGGGCTCTATAAAGTGCTGCTGGAGGACGCGTGGCGAATCGCCATGCGCAGCCAGCACTACCTCACAGTCCAGTGCTTGGATCTCCCGTGCGACTCGGCTTGGATGCAGCTCTACGAGCATGGCACCGACATCAACTTCCTGAGGTACGACACCGTCATTTCGTTTTGTTTCGTTCCAAGTGAAAGTTCTAATTGTTTTGTCTTTAGGGCTTCTTTTTCTCAGTTGCTGATTAGGTTCTCCAACTTCTACTATATGCCTTCACCTGCGTGTAGAGGGCGACCTCCCAAGCTCCGCTACGTACATTAAGTCCTTGGACTTCTCCTTTGCTTCTATGTTGACTCCATGGAACAAAGCACGCTTTGCATGCTGTTTGGTCTACCGCCGAGCACGTTATCGAGGACCCTACGACGGGCTGAAAAAGCGTTGGCCCAGGCGCTGGATGGCTACGCTCCGGCGCGAATAGCATGACCATCACCTTCTCGTCAGTTGAAACTAGCTCGCATGGTAGAAGCTCGGGAGCCACTTCTGAAGCACACGTTCGGCTTTATCGACGGCAAGAATCTACGCGTACGTTTAATGCCGCTTATATAACGTCAACCCTGCCGTAACTAAGCTCTAATTTGTGGTTTGTATTAGGTAATGCAACCGTCTTCAGCTGATCTACAGAATGCTATGTATAATGGCTGGCTTCACGCAGTATTCGTCACCGGGACGATCTGCTTTGCGGCCGATGGCTGCATTATATGGAGCAAGCATAATTGTCCGGGTTCTTGGAACGACTCCGACACTTCGCTGGGGTTCCGTGACAAGTTGCTGGATCCAATCTACTGCCCAGACCAGCGGATGAACGTGGTCTCCGACTCTGCGTTCCCTTGTTCAGTAGCCATGACTGGCCGGATCCTGACACCACTCAAGGACGGGGATCTCGAACGCGTTCTGCCTTCACTCCGAAGTTCTGCGCGCACGCTGCACAATGCTATCACCTCCGTCCGGCAGGCGGCGGAGTGGGGCATGGGAAGTATCCAAAAGGTTTACTCGCGCTTGAATCTGCCGCTGCCGTACGACCCAGCAGTCCGTGGTACCCGTATCAATAACCTCTTTCGAATGGCAAACTACCGTGTTCGCACTGTCGGGATCTCGCAGATCCGGACCACATTCAGCGGCGCGATGGAGGTCCCTATGTTGCCGCAGTAGCAACAAATCAGCCGCTGGTCTTCTACGAGTAACTGTAACGAGGACGAGAAGAACATTTGCTTGCGTTCGTATTTGGTAGTTACCTGGGGTTAATGGAAATCAACACTACATATGAACAGCTCCTCCTTTTGCATGCTTCGGTTTTTCTTGTGAGAGTTCGATCCGACGGCAACGATTGAGATTTCGGTCACCTGTATGATCTGGTCCATGGACGTTTACCCCTTCTTAGTAAGCGCGTCGATGAAGAGCAGCAACTCCTGGGTGCGGCACGTGCATCTTCCCTATCGCGACGAGCACGCTCCTCCATCTCCAGCTTCTCTTGGCGCCTTGCCTCTTTGACTTCAGCCTTTTCAGCGCGCTGGCGTTCCTCCTTTGCCTGCGCGGCATCGCGACGACGCTGGTCTTCCTCCAAAGGACGCGTCTCTGCCTTGCGTTCGCTGTCCTCTCGCAGCATCAGCATCATTTCAAACATGGAGCTTCCCATGCTGTTACTGGATTTCTCGATGCTGCAGAACTTGTCCTTTAGCAGAGTAGTTGCCTTAATCGCACGGGCTCGCTTGGCCTTAGCGTAGCTGGCCTCCGTGATATCTTTGTCATCCTCTTGAAGAGCTCGCTTGGCTCCGACTGTGTCGCGGAACGTGTAGAGATTGGTGCCCCCAAGCCGGTTTGAGTAGTCGATCAATGTTGGGTGGCGCAGAGCTTCCTGTTCGTCTGCACCTCCAGGCTTATATCCACGGGCTGCGGGTAGAGGCAATGGAGCAGTCGAGGAACAAGCGGTGACTGCATCGTCCGCCATATTCGGCGTCTTCTTCAGCCGAAGGCTCCGTCTGGTTGACGGTGCAACCACCCCGTCAGCGGTGTCGAGGCAAAAGCTTCCAAGCCGACAATAGGCATCGTGGGAGCCTCTTGAAGCTCGCCGACGGTTGCGGGCACTTCGCTGCCAGTGCTCTTTTCACCGTGAACGATGGCATGTTCGTCGGTGAGGACATCCTCCGGCTCAAAGTCGAAGCACAGGTCCCCCAATGGATCTGGGTCGTCTTCCTCGTCGGCGCATCCGTCCTCGTCAGCAGCGTCGTTCATCTCGACGACGCTAGCCTTCTCGTCGAGGGCCTTTTTCAGCAGCTTAGCTTGTTTGACATGCGGGGGCATGTTCGGTTCACCGGTCGGCTTCCTCAAGCCGTACAGCGCCTTGAACTTGCGCCTAAGACTATCGTAGTCGCGCTCAGCCCAGCCACACACACGGCTCAAGTTGTAGGCGTCAGATAGCCTCTTCCACTCGTCCATGTCAAGTGGAAGGCGATCCCCCACGAGCTCGAGCAGTCTGGCGACTTCAGCGAGCTTGTAGTTAGGGCTACCGGAGCTCTTCACCATCGTTGCTGTAGAAAACAACAACACACTTTAGTACAGCTTCCAGAGTAAGAATGGCGACGTGCCGTTGAAGGCAGCGAGCGTACCGGGGTGAGGTATGCGAGGGCGGTAGGTCGGGGTTTGGGTGAGCTTGTGCTTGAGCCGGCAGAATTGAAAATGAAAGACAAAAGCGGCTCCGCCGACGGCGTTGGCGCCAATGCGTTGGGCTGCACAACGTGCCTCCACCACCAAATGTGAAGCGTCCAGCCTTCGCTCTACTTCAAGGCGCCAAATTAGTGCGCCCAAACTTGAAAGCCGTGGGCTACGTGCCCATCAACATCCGAGCCTTGGCGCGATATCCTGAAAGGGCGTTATCGAACGGTTTAGAACTACCCTCTCACCTCATCGACAACTCCATCTTCTTCTGTGATCATCTGCAACACAACCGGGCTGAAAGTTAGAGAACTGCTTTCATTTATAACATGTAAACACAGGCATCAACGCACCCTACTCGTCCAGAAGCTATTCCTTTCGTCGCTAAGCCTCACAACGTTACGGGTCCGCTTGGTCTTAAATGCTTCGGTAGCGGCACTCCGTCGATCGACATCGGCATACAAACCAGAGATCGTCTCCATAGTCTGCCGTGATCTCTTGTCCTCGCTGAATATATTCGGTGGTGGCTACGACGACGGTAGTCCTGCGGCCGTTGGACACCTCCACGAAGGACGCCACCGGATCACACGAGTGATTCACAACCGCATTAGGCCACCGAGGCGCTCCGCGTTAATTGCAACCCGGACCGGCCGGTTTGGTCTTTCTGGGCGCTGGTTCATCACCAAACGGAACCCTCCGTTACGTGGGCGGTTGGCGCGCGACAAACTGACGTGCTCCATTTCGCCCAAATATTGGCCGATCACCTCCCCAGCAGGAATGTCCTCGCCGGCAACCACACAAAGAGCTCAAGTGCGCACGTTCCTCCCCAAAAAGATCTTGTCTGACTCGCGCAGTCCGTTCCCGCATTGACCTCCGTACGGGCACGAATTCACATTGCAGTATATGTGCATGAGCGCATTTCGACACGAACCGACTCGGCATGGCTCAAAGCAGGTACACCAGCCCTCGTGGGGTACGCTGGGGAAGACAGTACCCAGCGGGCTGTACATCTCGCGGAGCCACGCCACGTTGCTCGGCCACTTGGCCAGGATGAACTCGTTGTATCCGCGCGCAACCCGACGCCGCGGTTGTACTCCAACATCGGAACTGGTCCGTATGAGTCCTCTCGCATTCACAGTAGGAGGCGGTGTGTGGCTCCCCCCTCACGAGACTGACGTGTCCTTGCGTACGGCAACGTAGCTGCTTGTCGGTCGCGCTGAGAGCGGAGTCGAGAGCGCGGCGGACCTCGCGCAGACGACGTAGTGGTCGCTGCTGATGGTGGACTTGGTGCCGACTCCAACAGCACTGGCGATGACGTCGTCGGACTGCCTATGATACGAATGGGCTGCACCTTCATATCACATCCCTGAGAATGAGACTGGCTTGTTGAGGGCTCGACGCATGCAATGCGCTGCGGTGTCAACAACGGAGGCGTCAAGGTCCCCGTTGAACGGGGAGCTAGCCACGTAGGCGTCATTGTCCCTGTAGAACTCGGAGACGATAGCCAGTCGGACGTCGACGATCCATCGACGTCAATCGCGGTGTCTTCAGTGTAATGGTGCGAGGCGGCGGCCTCGCTGGTCTTGTTGCGAGCGCTGGTCACGCTGCGGGCGGAGGCCCTGTTGGTCTTGCTGAGTGTGCTGGTCTCGCGGGCCTTGCCAGTCTTGCTGCGGGC